AAATGAGCTCAGACAAACTCAAACCCGCTCTCTTAATGTGTTCATCACCTGACCCACAGTCACATTCCCCTGTCAGTCAGACACGAGCCCTGATCAATAAGAGACTGAGCTGAAGGAAAATGAATGAATGATCTTCAATCTGCTTCAACACACACACATTTGTATGGATATGAATAAATCACAGCCCTGCAGATGTTTAGTGTCTTCTACTGCCAGTCCACTAAAGGGGCTTCACATCTGGTAACACCTGTTCACACTTCTATTAAAGCAGGTAAAGACACATTTACACCTGTAATCTGAAAGCAGTGTTAGCGCTGCACTTTACCCAGGGTTATGAAGCGCTGATATGGAGTAGTGTTAGCATCATATTTGTAATGTTAACACTGCATTGTGGTTAGGGATGCAATGATTAACCGGTTACACTATTAAACATGCTTTAATTCATCACAGTTTATTAATCGTAAAGACTTCTCAACACCGTTTTTCTACACAGATCAAAACTGCTGCAACTAAAAGTTATACCCACTGTGTCGCGGTTTACACTTATAACCACACTCATTGGATTAACTATGACTGTGGGTATATAAAGCAAGTTCGTTATTTTCAAATGGAGAGAGCTTTTGTGACTGCAGAAAATGCAAACTTTTACGATTGACTGGGCAGATGGAGGCAAAAAGTGTCACAGAAGCCGCTGGTGAAAGTGAAGTGATTTATTTTAAACGAGGTGAAGACAAAAATCCAGCAAAAAGGTGAAAGTGACAAAATAACAAAAATAAATAAAATAAACTCTACAATATTTACAATGTATATACAGGCTTGTTCAGCTAAATCAAGGAAATGACCTGAACAAAATCTGTTAGCAATACTCTGACACAACACAACCTACTCCTAAAACAACCCACTTCGAGTGACTGTTTGGGGCCAGTTTATAGTATTGGCTCTGCCCATGGGTTTAACCATTTTACTGGTAGTAGGTTGACATGTAGACAAAAAATACATAAAAAGACATTCAACAAAAGTATAAATTAATGCAAATAAATGAATATGCATACAAAACTCAAAATACAGAACAACAAATAACCAATACAAATTTAAACAACAAAACTGTGATTTTTATTTACTGACCAGGGGGATGTGACCCTGATGATGTCATGGAAAATGGCTGCTCCAAAGTGAAGGCGGGAAAAATCTGTATAAATGACTTTGTTTGAAAGTTAAACAGGTTTGGTGCTGAGAAATAGAAACTGGTAAGTATATGTCAACTCTCTATGTTTGGTTAATAAATGATGTTTAAAAGAAAATGTGTCTGTGGTTATTTCAGTGTGAATGGGAAGATGATATGGGCTATTGTTTGACATCAAGTGAAGTTTCATAAACTAATTTCGAGAGGAGCACGTGATATGATTGTGCACCGCTGGCCACTCATCCGTAATCAGTAATAATCCAATTAGAATGATCCTAGCTTAGTATAAATGGATCACTTTCTCCTCATTGCGCTATCTTCATTTTGGAAGAATCCCCCCTTTCACCCCATCTCCTCCTTTTTCTCCCCTTCTAAAGGGGGAGCGATCGAGACCTACCTGATCTCGGTTCTCCTGATATGCTTCTAGACCGGGCGGGAGCCCTGGGCTCAAATATCTCCAAGCTCAGGGTTCTCTCCCGGGACAGCATGCCAAACCTGCTATAAGTGCAAAGCATATCTAAGTGGGAACTCTTGAAAGTGAGATTTGTACATAAACACAATGCTAATCTTGACAAAACACAACATATACACATTACACAAACACACACATGCACAATACAAATAACACAAAGGTCCATGTTTAAAAGCATGTATTTTATGTATGAATGCAATGTGATGTGTGTTTGTTAGTCAGTGTCTTTAGTTTTACACTGTGACACAAACGACTGAAGTTTGAGCAAGATGCAATGAAAAGTCCACAAGTTTGTAAACCCACCTACAGTTCCAAACAATGGCGCCGATGAGAACGATAATGAGGTGAATGTTGATCCGCCAGCCAAGAGAGTTTTCAGAGAGAGTGCTGAAAGACTCAGAGTGTCCCAGCTGATCAATGGCCTGAATCTCGATGTTCAGAGCAAATGTCCGCTAAATGTAAAATCTAACACTCGACACGTCATCGCCAAAGAAGCTTGCCTTTATTAAGTTAACACTGAAACTGCGGCTCATGTTGAAGAACTGTACGGTTTTGAGCCGTTTTTCAGCAGAAATATTATCTATTAATTGACATGCATATAAAAACAATTTTGCAAAATAAATATTTCTTTCTGCAATGCTTCAATTGTTTGATGCTAATTTATTTTTAATAAAGTAACAGTAGCAGTTAACAGACTTTTTATAGCAGATAACTCACATTCAAGCACATTAAAGGAAGCCTAATGATGAGAAATGTTATTTATTGTAAGTATTATCGTCATCGTTAATGTTTTATAATTATTAAACATTAATTTTGGATTTAAATATTAATAAGTCATTATGATGAATTAGTTAGATACATATTTTAGTTAGTCCTGATTGATCATGTTTTCAACTGCAATAAATCTGATAATAAAGTATAAAGGAGTGGAGCTCCTACATTTATTCTGGCGCTCCTGCATTTATTCTGGTGCTCCTGCATTTATTCTGGCGCTCCTGCGTTTATTCTGGCGCTCCTGCATTTATTCTGGCGCTCCTGCATTTATTCTGTCGCTCCTGCGTTTATTCTGGCGCTCCTGCATTTATTCTGGCGCTCCTGCATTTATTCTGTCGCTCCTGCATTTATTCTGGTGCTCTTAAATTTTTGAAGTTGGGAGCACTGTTTCTACCAAGTAAAAAAGTAAATTTCAAGCCCTGCATTAGACAAATACTGTTTTTGTTTATTCCTATTTTTATTCATGTATTCATTGTTCTGTCATTTATTTTCAGTGTAAAATTATTACTTGTGTTTAAATGACAAAAGCAATCACTTATTTTAAGCACAAAGAGGGAAATGGACTAGTGTTTGTTTTTAATGCTATTTTGTATTATTGTTGTATTATTATTATTATTATTATTATTATTATTAATTATTTGGCTACAATAACACATTATTTATTGAGCAGCAGTAAATAACACTGTAAAATGTGTAGTTTTCATGTGATTTTCTAAACTAGTAGTGCTCTGAAATTAATGATTGCTTAATAATCATGATAACCATGAAACTGTGATTATTTCCCAGAGTATAATCCTACAAAACAAAATGTATAATGGTTGCATCTCTTAATCATGCTGCTACTGTAAGTTTGTTCAGTGTGAGACAGAGCAATGTGTTTTGTTGCTGTTGGACACTTGGCAACAGAAACAGCCAATCATAAGCTGATCAGTGAGGCTCATGACATGTCAGTAAGGGGAAGTGTGCATCATGTAAACAGCAGTCAGTGAGAGAAACATATTCAGAGATGGAAAGTGTGTGAACTGGAGAGATCAGGAGTTGTTAGATGACATGATTTGCTCCATGTGTTCTTTCATTTGTACTTTTGACTTTGTCTTCGTGAAACTAACGACCTACACGGCGACATTTAATATACCAGACAACATGAGGAGAGTTCATTTAGCTCATTACCATTATGATGGGGTTTTGATTACTCTTATGCCTCACGTCTGTTGAAGCACTGCACACTTGAGCGCAGCATTTTTAGACTCTGTGTCAAGTTGAAGAACCTCTACACACAGCACCAGTCATCTGTGTCAGCTCCAAAGCAGAAGAGCAAGAAGAACGCAGAGCAAATGTTGAACATTTCTGTTTACAGGAGCTCAGAGGCTGTCTCTGGACACCATTGGGCTTTCTGCTGCACTGTATTCAGTTCTGCATTCTAAGTCAATAAACCCTAAGATTGCCTGCTGCTCCTCCAATCAGAACTTGACAACACAAAAACCCCTAATATGAAATAATGTGGGCTATTGTGAAATCGTTTAGCAGTTATTTTTGAGTGGAGAATCATTTACCTCAGTGTCTCCAGTTTACAGTTTGGACTCTTCAGTCTGAGAGAATCAGAGAGAAGCTTCACTCCTGAATCCTGAAGGTCATTGTTACTCAGGTCCAGCTCTCTCAGGACACCGTTTGAGGATTGTAGAGCTGAAGACAAACTCTCACAGCACTGAACAGTGAGATTACACATAGCCAATCTGAGAAATAAGAAAACTAATCAAATTTACAGTGTATTTTTGTCATTCACTTCATGTAAATAATAATTATAATCAATCAGTCAATCTATCAATCAATCAGTCAGTCAATCAGGTGTTTGAACTCAGACCTCAGTGTGTCCAGTTTACAGTTTGGACTCTTCAGTCCATCAGAGAGAAGCTTCACTCCTGAATCCTGCAGGTCATTGATACTCAGGTCCAGCTCTCTCAGCACACAGTTTGAGGATTGTAGAGCTGAAGACAAACTCTCACAGGACTGAACAGTGAGATTACAGCACTGTAGCCTGTGAGGGAAAAACAGAAATAATTATTTTGCATTTACCTATTAATCCAGAGCCGAGACAAAAACACTTGAATGTTGTCTTATAGTTTAAGTAAAGGTAAAATCACTATATGGACTCTGTAAATACTGAATTTAAGGGAGAATCCAAGGCTGTAAAATAAACATACAATTATTATTTAGCTAACAATTCACAGTTTTGTGTGATAATTAATTTTTAGTTATTATTATTAAAAACTTTCTGTTTTCCAAACTCATGTTAACATATTAGAGCTATCAGTTTTGAAATGCACACCATCTATCTATCTATCTATATATCTATCTGTCTGTCTGTCTGTCTGTGTGTCTGTCTGTGTGTTTGTGCGTGCGTGCGTGCGTGTTAAAAGAAAGCAGAGATTATATTATTGTATTGCGTAAAAAGAGAATCAAAGTATTGAAAAGAATGTCCAAAAATGGAGTAAACATAAGGAGAACAGATATTGTGTACAGCAGGAGATCAGTAATACACATTTGATGTGAAAACACAAATAGTCTGTGCTGTTTCTGCACTGCACACATTTGACTCATGGGTTGCAGATGTGTTGCAAATCGATGTGTGAAATGGGCATAAGTGTATCCAGAAAACTCTTACAGTGCTCTTGTGGTGATCTTGACCACTGGCATCAGTCTCATCAGTGCTTCATCAGATCTTCTGTATTTCTGCAGTTCAAACTTCTCTTGAATCTCTTCTGACATCAGGAGCACAAACACCAGACCCGACCACTGAGCAGAGGACAGATTCTGTGCTGTAAGATTTCCAGAGCTCAGACTCTTCTGGAGTTCCTCCACAAAGTCATCCTTCAATTCGTTCAGACAGTGGAAGAGGTTGATGGTTCTCTCTGCTGATTTCTCCTTCTTTATTTTCTTTTTGATATAGTCAGTCGTATCTTTGATGTTCTCAGTTTCGAGCTTCAGCCCTGGCAGGAGCTGCTTCAGGTTACTCTGGTCACTCTGATTAGACTCTAGTGAAAGACCCAACAGGAACCGGAGGAAAAGGTCCAGGTGTCCGTTCTTGCTTTGTAAAGTCTTCTCGACTGCATCCTTATGAAGTTTAAACAGGGTCTTTGTAGAGAGTTTCCATGTCAGTTCCTTTTTCCTGGATTCAAGAAATGGATTTGCTTTCTTGTCTTTGTAAGTGAAAAACACATAGAGAGCAGCAATGAACTCCTGAACGCTGAGATGAACAAAACTGTACACCTGTTCCCCTGAGATGGGGTTTTCCTCCTGAAACATTCGAGTACATAATCCAGAGAACACAGACCCTTCCTTGACATCTAGTCCACACTTCTCCAGATCTGTTTTGTAGAAAATCAGTTGTCCTTTCTGCAGCTGTTCAAAGGCCAGTTTCCCCAGCTTCAGAACAATGTCATCAAAAGACCAGGCATTGGCTTCAGGTTCAGAATCACTATATTTTTCTTTCATCTGTTGCTTTTGAGACAGTAAGAAGTTGATGTACATCCCTGTGAGAGTTGTGGGTGTTTTTTCATTGCTCTCTTGACCCAGCAAAGGCTGAAGAACAGTGAGAGAGATCCAGCAGAAGACGGGGATGTGGCACATGATGTACAGACTCCTGGATTTCTTGATGTGGCTGATGATGTTTCCAGCAACCTCAGGACTGCTGTTTTTGATGAAGTACTGCTCCTTCTGCTCATCACTGAATCCACGCACCTCAGTCACCTGATCAATGGAGTTTTGGGGTATCAGACTGGCTGCTGCTGGCCTAGATGTGATCCAGATGAGGGAAGAGGGCACAAGCTCTCTCTTTAAGATATGTGTTACTATCTTACTCACTGTCATTTCCTTGTCAACATCTGTAAAGCCATCATCCTCTTTGAAGTTCAATTGAAAGCGATATTCATCCAGTCCATCAAAGATGAACATGACCTTGCCTTGTTCTTCAGGAAGAGAGCTCAGTCCTCCACTTCTAAAGAAGTACTTGTTAATCAGACCTATGAGACTGTACTTTTCTTCTTTAATCAGATTCAGTCTACGGAACGGCAGCGGAAATATGAAGACTATTTCTTGATTGTCTTTTCCGTCAGCCCAGTCATGAATGAATTTATTCACAGAGACAGTCTTTCCCACTCCTGCGATCCCCAGTGTCAGGACTCTTCTGTTTTGTAGACCTGTGTCAGGCTGAACTTTAAACATGTCATTACACTTGAGTGGTTTATCCTTGGCTGTCTGTTGGTTGTGTTTTGACTCTATCTGTATCACTTCATGGTCATTTTCTCTTCCTCCAGTCTTGTTCTCCACCACATATAGATCAGTGTAAATATCATCCAGCTTCTTCTGGTGACCCGTCTGTGAATTACCAAGCAATATCTGCTCAAATTCCTCTTTAAATTTCTTTTTTAGTTTCTGGCTGATGTTTGTGTAATCAAGAGGAGGAGTTTTACAGTTCTCTAAAGGTGCACCTTTACAAGAGAGAGGAAAAAACAATAAAGTAAAACATGATTATGCCCTGTGCTTCCCTTTAAGAAAAAAATAACAATTACACATATAAACAAATTTAGATGAACGAAGACGAACATATGAATGTTGATCATGTGAAATTCAGGCACCCATTTACATGCATTAGCATTATGATTCACCATCACTGTTGTCCATAGCAATGCTGAATTAAAACCATTGCTAGGATAGGGTTTTAACATGGAATTAAATAATCACATTTCAAAATGTTGACAAGGAATTAAACAATACCTTGCTTCTGTGTACTCTCCAGCTGATCAGCCAAGTCATTCTGCTTTATTTTCCTCAGGGTGTCCACTGTGACCTTCACAGCTCTTCCTGATCCAAAACATGATACCATCTTATCTACTGTATCCAACCTGTCTGCATTCTCCAAATCAGCTTTTGAAATCTCATTATGGTCATTCACTAAGTACCTCTGAAACTTTTTTAGTTCAGCTTCTAACAGTTCATTCAGTGAGTTGTCGAGCAGCTGTTTAACATTCGCCATGGTGCTTCACCCATTCACAGCTACAGGACAAGAGCAACATCTGCATTAGTTTTTACAATTAACATACGAACCTAAGCAGTTACTTATTAATTAAATAATGAAATTAACCTCAGAGTAGAAACTTGACATTTCAAAATTGACAATTTTGAAAATTGTCACTCTTTTAAGTGGCTCTTACTAACCAGGAGTGATGAAGATGTTTGTTTGTCTACCTAACTTGTGTCTTTGGCTGAAGTTCTGTAACTCTTCTTTCTGAATCATCATACAGAAGTGTTTATTTAGATGTTCAACTGGTTAAACAACCATTTGAGAAAACTAATAAAGCCAGTAAAAAAAAGACTTTAGATGACAGTTGACACTGGTGGAGTTTCACACACATATGACCAATGTTAAAAGCATACTACATTTTTTGATAAAAATGCCCATCACTGTGGTGGAACCCTAAAAGGTAACTTTCTGTACCTCTAGTTTAGATCTTATAATTCATATGGGGTACAAAATAGGGCCTATAGTGTACCTTTAAAGGTACAGTAATGGTTAATGTATCTTATTGGTGCATTTTTTTCTGACAGTGTTGTACCATTATTTTTAAAAATGTGAACACTTAAAAAAACTTTTCAGAGCCGTGTGACTTTTCAGTGTCTCCTGAACCTAAGCCTTCTGATCCACTGGGGTTATGTGAACAGCCAGTGCCTCTGAACCTGAGCTTCCTGACCCACATGGGTTGTCAGATCCATCACTGTCTTCTGAAACTAAGCCCCAGACAGCTCCACTTTCCAGGCCCTCCACAGCTCTTTGTTCTAAGTTATCCAGAGCTCCATGCTCCAGACAAACTTCTTCACCACCTTCACCTCCTTCTTGGCCTGTGTTAGTAGCATCTTGAATCCCCTCCTAGAGAGGGGCTCTGTAACGATCACTAGCAATCTAACCCTCATAGATCACTGGAGAACATTTACTTTTACTCATACTACAATTCTGCCACTATATAAACTACATCTCCTGTCACCACACACACACACACAGACATGTTCCAGTTCTCCTTTGATTACACACACACAGCTGGGAGCTGCTCACGGACTGATTACACAGACTATATATACAGCGCACACACACACACTTTGCTGAGTCTTGTTTGGAATACACTGTAACATTTCTAAGCGTTTCTTGTGTCTAGTCTCTCTGTGTTCCACCCTTGCCTTGTTTTATTGTTTATTTTGCTCACTGCCGGCAGATTTTTCTGTATGCATCTGTTTGTCCCTGTTTTCTCTGCCTACCTGACTACTGTTCTTAGTAAAATGCAAGTGGATCCTAAACTTCGTTGTCCAGCACACTTGAATTACAAAGGGTAAAAAAAAAGAAAATTCCAGACTATGCCATTCCAGAGTATTAAACTGTTTTCTATCATAACAAATTTATACAATGAAAACGGGCAAGCAGAACAGCCTCAGCACCAGGATTTCATAACAGAGGGGCCTTTAATCCCATAGGGGGGCACTACACTAGATATGTTTTACAGTCATTGCATTAGATTTGCTGATTTTTGTCCCTCTTCTTCCTTTCATTTAGGCTATTTATTCACTTATTTAATATTACTTTGCATTACTGCTCAAGTTACTGACTTAAGGCAGTAATATACTTCTTATAGTAATAATAAGAATATGTATTCCCTATTATTGATTTTATCAATGAAGGTTAATGCAACACTGTTTATTAACGCAGATGGATCATGGCTTCAGTGTCAAATAAATGCTTTAAATTATATTTTATTCTCCTTTTTTCTTTCTGCTTTTTTTCAAATAGTATATATGTTTAAAGTTTTAGGTAAAGACTTCAAACTATGCCCACACATGCAAGCTAACCCACTATTCGTATAACCAGTAAATAAAAATAGCGAAATAAGCATAACCTGAGTAGTGACGCTTCACGTTGCCTATTGCCCAACTTAACTAATCATCTATCAGTGTAAGAAAAAAGTTAAATGTTACAACCTAATGTCATTTAAAAAAATAGCAGCTAAATGTGTTACTTAGTTACATTTTAATGCATCAGTGTAGCCAGAAAAATAATTAAAATAAAAGATACCTAAAAATAAAAATTTTGTTATTACTGTGAAAATTGGTTACATTTTGGCATGGATAACACGGAAATCAATAGGACATATAACTTTTTCATAGTTTTAAAGGTGAAAAATAAAGATTTATGTTAGGCTATCATGAGTGAGGTTTTTTTGTTCGTTATACTGTCCAGTTGGCATTAAAAAAAAAAAAAAAAAAACATAAGCCATTAGGCCTACTCATCTTTTTATTTATTAAGCCTTTTTAATAATGTTTTCAGGTTACATTTTCATTTTTTGGCCCATGAGCTAGAAGTCAAAATAAAATTGATAAGCTAACTGTATTTTAGCCGTTAAAATAGGCCTACAGTATATTTTCTGGTGTTTAATTTTGCATGAGCAAATATCAGTATAGCCTAAATAACTTATTTTTAAAGTTTATCATTCAGCCTACCTACGGCGCATGTGAGAGGTTGATCCATGGCAAATCCACTTACTCACGCACTATACCCATTTCATGTATAACTGTAAGATTGACTTTGCAGGCTGATCATCTTTAAACTCAAAAGTCATTTATTAAGTGTCCTAACTTGAGTCTGTTGCTGCATAATGGGATGTTTCTTTTCACAACTGTAAAATTGGCTTTAGCAATTTCAAAATGAAAGCAAACATTCAAAATGTTTCCACATATTGTCAATTTCATAGGTTCATTTGAATATATTAATAATAATGAATATAATAACTTATACTATTAATTATAGTGTAGATTACTGTAGGACTGTGCAGTGAACTCAACATTTTTATAAGGCTACATATCCCCTAACTGAAAAACTAATGTGAAAATGACTGGCAGTTGCGTTTCTGCTAAAATTAACTTAACGGCAAATTTCTTCTGCATTGTTTCCTTTTAGAGCTCAGGAGAGTTGTATTTAATCAATTAGTTAACCAAAACATGAAATGAATTAGGCTTCTCGCCTTTATGCCATACACTAGTCCAGTTTTCTAGAGTGCGACTTAGCTGCCGCGTGTGCACTTTAAAGGCTATATACGAGCGCACCCTGACGAGATGCAGGGACCAGATCTCTCCACTGTTGCTTTAATGTTACAATCTTCATAATTTAAATGCTATTTCATATTATAACATATCTAAATGCGTGTTCTGAAGGTTGGAATGATGGGAGTGTTTAGCAGGTCGCACACCAGAAGCGCTGCGACACAATGCGCACATGACAGTTAAAAGTATCACACACCAGACACACACATTCGCATGATATTTAAAATTAAACTTATCAGATGGCGCTCTGTGGCATGGCAGGAATATGAACAATGTACTGAGTCGTGGCTGGGTGCAGCTAAGCAGCTATTCTGGTGTGCGACCTTTCTGCGATGCTAATCTACGCTAATTGGATCGATGACCCAGTCTGTTGTGATTGGTTGACTTGTGATTGGTTGACCGGAGAAAAGTCCAGTGTCACGACAATTTTATTCCTAAACTACTTATTAGCTGCAGGTGTTCATCATGATGAAGATTAAACATATGCTGGATAAGTTGGTGGTTCATTCCATTGTGGCGACCCCAGATTAATAAAGGGATTGAGCCGAAAAGAAAATCAATATCCCAAAGAGTCCCACAGGATTCGCACAGTGAATAATTTGTTCCCAAAACTGTCCTTTCCGCGATGCTAATCTACGCTAATTGGATCAATGACCCAGTCTGTTGTGATTGGTTGACTGCGTTCAGCGTGATACAGAGAATTGCCCACCATGGCAATAACACTAATTTTCCCTCACACTTCAGAGCACATCGTCTTCAAAACATTTAGCCGGTGTTTGTCTTCCTCTTTTTCTTTCTACAGTGTTTGTGGCTGGGGTTTCAATTTTCCAGGGTCTGCGCGTGCGCGCACAACCAATTGGCAGGGCTTGAGTTGTGTTTTTGGAGCTGCGTCTCAAATGGCACACTATACACTATGCACTCATGCACTATGGGCTCTATTTTGACGGTCCATACGCAAAGTGCAAAACGCAGGACGCAAATGCTTTCAGGGTGTGTCAGGATGCGTTTTTGCTAATTTAAGGACGGGAAATCTGCCTTGCGCTTCGGTGCATGGTCTAAAAGGGTTGAGTTTATTTTCTTTATGAGTTATAGGTGTGTTTTAAGAATAAACCAATTAGAGTCTCATCTCCCATTCCCTTTAAGAGTCAGCTGCGTCGCGCCAAGAGCGCATTCGCTATTTACAGGACGCAAAGTAAGTCTAAGTGGAAAAAATGAGCATTTCACAAGCAAACAGTTAACAGTTTTTTAACAGAAAACTGTTAAACAGAGCATCTACTGCGTGAGAATGAGAGATAATGGATCACTTTCACTTTCGCTCTTGGATAGGGAAACCTTTACGCAAAGACATCAATTAGTCTATAAATAAATACTTTTGTTTGTTAAGCGCAAATATTCATTTCAAAACTATTTCTAAATTCAGTTCTAATTTCCAGCAAACGAATAAATGAATAATAATAGCAAAATGTGCTCAAAAACCTGAGTTATATCCTAAAACACATGCTGTGCCCCATATGGTCTAAAACCTGACAGGTGGGCAAATCTAAGCTTGTTTTTAACAAAACAAATATAAATATGGATATAATAAATAATACTGCTAATAATAATAACATTATACAAAAGCAAATTGTTACTAATGAACTGAAAAAGCCTCCCGAGATGAAGAAGACATAAAAGCAGTGGTTTTTCATATTTATGTAGGCTATAAAATAATATGTTTTGTAATATTTTAATCCTTTATATTTATATCCTATATCTATTCTTATTATATCCTATATATATCCTTAATATTTACATTTTTTCATATGTACAGATATTTGCCTATTGCTCTCTTCTGCGTATTAAGCAGTGTGTAAGCGAGGCGCAACTCTGCGCCGGAGTTTAGACCGGGTTAGTTTTGGTCTAATGAAAAATCTATTATAGTTTTCAAAATAGCAACGCGCCAGCGGTCCGCCTCAGAACGCCTTCCTTTTTAGACCAACTACTGCTGAAACTACCAAAAGACTACTGCGTCACGCCTTGCGCCACACTGCGCCGGGTGTATGATAGGGCCCTATGTATTTATTCACTTACACACTCAACAGCATAGTACATGTATGTAGTGTCGTCTCAAATTCAGCACTAATGTTTTTTTACTAAGCGGAAATTCAAACCTTTTCCCTGATGACGTTTGACGCCCGCCAAATAAGTGAAATAAATGACCGAAGTATCAAATAATACCTGCCATGAGTATAACCGCATTCTCCATCGGGAGGCGCTATAATCACTCTCGTAGGAAAATTCTGCTTTCACCATGCAAAATAAATAAAGTTATCCAACATGTGTGCCCGATAGCACTGTCCCTTCCGCTACGTGAGCAAAACTGTGGTTGTTGAGTGTGTGAAGTGTCCATCATTCCACACATCACACAATTTGGGACGCATCTAACATCACACCGACATGGCTAAAGATTTGTTTAGTCGACTCTTTCATAGATGAATCAATAGTTTTAAATATGGTGCACTTTCAGATTTAAGCCTTGGATGTGTTACACACTACATGGAAGCTCATTTTCAAAAACCCATAATATGAGCTCTTAAATTCACTGCTTTGTCCTTTCCCATCACCTTCTTGTCAGTTTAAGAGATTTTGCTAAATTCTTTACTGGTAGGACTCCAACCATTAGTGGTGCATGTATGGCCTGTTTCCACTGAGTACTATGGTACGCTTTGGTTGCACAGAGTGTTACTGTATATTTCCCCCACGTTGCCCTGGGACATTGACTATAGCCCTGTGGCCAATGATGTTTCTTCTACTCCATGTTCTCGTCAGCTTGAACACACCATCATCTACGTAAGCGAACTCATGCTAGATCTCCTCTCCATCCATTCATGAAACTACCTGAAGAACAGTGTCAGGCAAAATTGTGTAGTTCAGTGTAGATCTAGTATTACATATTACAGTACAGTAAAAGATTACGAGACAGTATGCAAGACCACACTGCTAAAGTGAATACATACCTCTGCATAATCATGCCACAGTCTTTTCACCCTTTCGAAATTGTATTCGAAAGGCACTCCATAAATTTGCTTCATTTGAATATGTTTTTTTTTTTTTTTTATGGTGTGTGCCAGTGTTGATATTGAGACCTGATGGTTTTGATGAAACTGAAACTGGCATTTTATAGTGCTTAAACACCTGATTGGTGTGTCTACAATTAATCAAACAAGTGTTTGCACACCTGACGACTGTGTTGAACCAATTGGTTGGACGGTGCAGTAATTTGACAGTCAGTGCTTTGGTATTGCAAGGAAGTGACTTCATGATAGATTTTAGTGTGTAATGTATGTTAAGTGGGTTTAGTGTTTTGCAAATCACTGTGTGTAGAGATTTGCAACAAGTGTGAGGCTGACAATGTGCTTATAGTAGTGCAAATATGGGCTGATGTTTTGATACTTGTGTGTATGGTTTTGCTAATAGTGTACTACTTTTAATTTTAGTGTGTAAGCAATCCTAAAAAACTGTAATTATGCAAAGGATCTGTAGTGTTTTTGCTAATTGGGTGTGTGGTTGTGCTAATTGTGTGTACTGTTTTAAAAAAAACACGGGCCCTGTTTTGAAAATCGTGCTTAGGCAATCCAAAAAAACTGTAATAGTATTTAGACCAAAAAAAAAATTGTATAAATAATGTAAAACAGGTGACAGTTGTAGCCACAGAAGATTTTTATCATCAGAATCAGTTAAAGCAGAAACACTTCAGGCAAACAAATGAAACCGGTCTGACTGCTGAAACTCTTCAGGGTTTTCAACTCATGTATCAACACTTAAAATTGTGTGACTCCACTGTAAAATAAACTAAATGCATTCATGAATACTGTTATTGCAGTGCGAGTTTTCTGCATTCTGTAGCTTCTGTAAGGGCGCACTCACACTATGCTATCTGAACCGTGTCAGGCCCATTTGCCTGTACGTTTGAGAAGTTTCAGTGCTCAAAATCACATCAAAAGTGGCTTAGCTGTTCAACAAATTATTTGATTGTGTGTCACTGCATATCAAACGACTAAAATGATATAACTAAAGAAATGTTCACTGTGCTGAGTTTAATAATCATTCATAAACTCACAGATCACTCATAAACACAGATCTCAGTATCAGAATAAGAAGGTTTTTGCTTTCTGTGATCCTCTTCCAGAAACACACTCGACATTAAAAGGTGTAAATGAAATCCTCAGAATGTCTTTATCTCAGCAGTAAAGTCTCAGAAACGCAAAGAGATGATCCACGGATAATCAGACAACACTCATAGATGATATAAAGCACAGAAAGAGCAAACTCTCACCTCAAATAATGCCTGCAGATCTTTCTGTTCCTCCGCTGAACTGTTGAGCTGAACAACATCAGAAAATTCTTTCACCTGTGGAAAACACGTCACAACCTGTTTGAGACATGAGAAAATAACCAGTCAGATGAACAACACAGACACACAAGTAGATAAGAATAGAAGATAGCAATGGAGGTTTTGCTCAGCTGGTAATAGCAGTTTTGCGAGTACAAAAGTAAAGCAGTCACTGTTATATAACAGGTCACTTTTCCATGTGCTATATATTGTACTTGTTATAATCTCAGTAACACAAGTTACAATGAATGATTTTCAGCCCCAGTTAAGTTGTGTGTTTTATATTTTCCCTGATGGGAAGTGTGTAGAGTTTAAAAGAGTAAAAGTAGCACAACAACAACAACAACGATGAAGCTGTTCAATAAGCTGTATTTTGAATACGTTTCAGACAGTATTGATCTCTGTAACACTACAGCAGAGCCAGACACAGCTTCATCACTCCAGGATGGCAGACATGTTGCTCAGCCTTTGAGCTTATTTTAGCTGATTTTATCTAAGCCTGTGATTGGAGTCAGTTGAAGTGTTTGTGTTTCTCTTCAGTGATTCTGCTTATTAACAGCAGGTCTTCATCATCAGTGCTCGATCATCATTTAATTGTCTGATTAACTCAATGTAGAGAGGGAGCAGACAGACTCTAAGCTGAGGAAATGTTACTCAGAGGAGTTGTGTGGTACTGTGTAATTCAATCACAGCTTGTGCGCTGATCTGAGATATATTTAGCAGATTTTGTGAGATATACAGTTCAATATATAAAACAAACCAGGCAATATAACACCCCCACCAATATCTTTTCAAGCATCAACCAATGTCTTGGAAATAAAAGCTCTATACAAACCAAAATACTCATGTTTATCTGTTTACTCTACAGCGCAATAATCTCTCGAAAGCTGTGCTGTTTAAACCTTTACAGTATACTGGATGATCAAGGTCTGTTCTTCATCATCATCATCATCATCAGATTCTGATTAAACTGTCTTCATCCTGTGCAGAAAAGCAAGAAGGTCTCCATTACCTATTATTACTACTATTATTCTATTACCTATTATTACTCTATTATGGTCTCTATTACCAGTGATCACATGACTACTGCCTCCAGGGTAAACTCCAGAATGCTGTAAAGCTGACGTCAGTGCCTCTTCCTCAGATGTCCTGTACTTTTCTATTGTACTTTTGAGCGTTGGTGGATTTCCTAAAGCACATACAGGATGATCTACGCCAGGGGTGTCAAACTGAAGTCCTCACAGACTCAATAATCTGACAATCAGATAAACCACTGCTGGATCTGGGCTATAACTGAAGAGAATATCTGTGTGGAACTGATCAGCAAACTTTATTTAATCACAGTGAACGTCTCTCTGTTCTATTAAATAAATAAAACACATTACAGATGAGAATCTGACTTTCATATTAGATAAACTCTAGGAAACTCTTCAAATGCTGAAGGAAAGTCAGACCTTCTGAATGTTCAACCTGTCAGACAATGTTTTGATGAACACAAACCTCTCGCTGCTGAATGTAGAGTCTGAATGAGTTCAAATTCAGTCTCAGAGCAGATGGTCTGCTGTATTTGATCATAACAATACAGAGTACAGTAAAGGTTATCATGTGTCTGTAGAAGCAGAGATAATGACAAACACAGATCTGGAGATCATGTAAACACAGCAATATTTACAGCTCAGAGGATGTGGAATCAGACAGGACTGATTATGTTTGATAAACAACCCTCACTAATGATCCTGATATCATTCAAAGCAGCTCATATTAAGCTGGACTCAATAAAATACTTTCTCTAGCTGATTTCACTGAATATACTCTATATATACTGTGATGTTTGTGTCCACCAGTGATGTTTCTTCATAAGTGTGCAGGTTCACTGCTTAGGAAACAAGTATTAAGTGGAAGAATGAAGCAGTCCTTAAAAAAAACCTGTTTTGTAAGTATTGTGCATTCCTCTACATCAGGGGTCACCAAACTTGTCATATTTTATAAAGTCAATACCCTAAAAATATGATAATTTTCATAACACAGCCCATAAATGTGTGAGTTGACAACTCGCGAAGCTGGGCACCTCACTTTCATTACAGAAGCAGAAGAGCAAGGTGTTTCGCGGCACTGAATAAGTTGTTTTGAAAGACATATTTG